ACCAACCAAGACATTACGAGCTGCGAGATCACGATGGACATAGCCTCGCTTGGAAAGGTATTCCTGTAAAACGCATAAGAMAAATCAAACCTCGCCTTGCGGACACCCCGACTATTACCGACATTTATATCTTCGCTCCAAAGAAATATCTGAAAATGACGAGCTCTATGAATGACCCTCTCTAATAAGAACACTTAATTGCTGCCCCAAAAGTGTCCGTTATAGTGGGGTTACTGTATCAAGTTAAAAAAAGAGCTACAAAGATAAACACTAGCAACTACTGTCCGTTACGGTGTCCGTTATAGCGAGGTTACTAAATCAAGTAAAAAAGGAACTAAATAAATAAGCAACTAACGACTACTGYCCAGAAGGTGTCCGTTATAAAGTAAAAAAAAAGTTAAATAAATAAAMAACTAACGACTAACGTACCATGCCCTGCGAYACCTGCCATGCGAAGGCCATCAAATCACCAGGTGTCAAGATATCATCATCAATATCGTCCTTCTCACAATCCTCTGAATCGTAACCCGTGGTAACGACTTCATTGTTACCAGTCTCCACGCTTTGGACAGATAGTAGTTGAATGTCGCCTGGGCTTGACTCTTTAGCGTTTTCTGGTGAGTGAACGTAGATCCTGTCGCTGCGTGATGCCTTCGAAAGGAAATTTGACGTAGAACGGCGAAAAGGATAATAAACAAAAGGAATAAAAGAAATTTCAAATAAAATAAAATAATAAAAGGAAAAATATGAGAAAAAACTGACTACGAAGCAAACGAAAAAGAAATCGAAATGAATGAAAATGAATGAATGAAAACGAAATGAAATGAAACCAGAATTACTAGAGAGAATTAAACTAAGGTTCTATTGAATCATATTTCCCACGTATCCTATCAACCCCAAGCAACACGAACACTTGAATATATTAAAGTTAATATGATATATCAAGCTTTTTCTACAGACTTTAGTAATACCTGAACTAATAATCCTTCTTCGGGTTTGTTCTTGTTGAAATACGTCTGGCAGTAGGTAGAGTGGTATGGACCACGAGGATCGCTRTCTGGGTATCTTGTTGCCTTAAACACACATCAAGGTTCACAAAATATAAGTACTATTTTTTCAAAAACTTTAATGGAGAAGAAAGGATTATATTAATCATCTCACCTTTCCTCGTCGTTTCCTGAGGTAGTGGAGTAGATCACCATTAGGTAGATATTCCACGATAAGAAACATTGGATCACTGAGTGTACCACAACCCAACATGTTCACGATGTTACGATGTGAGCCAACGTCTTTCAT